GCCTGTGGGGCAGGCCGCGTGCTCTGAGCCCTGCCCACCCAAACCCTGTTTCTCTTGCAGCTCCCCCTACAAACTACGGACTCTATGAGCAGCTGAAGCAGAGATGGCTCACCCCCGAGGCTGGCCTGCGCAAGAGCACTTACACTTTGTCCTACCCGAGACCACAGCTGTGCGCTCTGTCCCGGCGGGAACACGCCATCCCTGTCCCTCCCCCGCGCCTGCAGCCTGTCCCACGCTTCTGAGAACTGTCACCCCACCCACAGCGCAGGCAGAACCAACTGGAGACCTACTGTGCGATTGGACCTGCCAGAGAGCAGGCAGCTGCAGATACACCCCAAGTTTTAAAGGCAGCCCATCGAGGGGCCCTCAGAATCATGGTCTGTGGTGTGGGGTTCCCCATGTCCTTCCTCCACACCCATAGGTTCCTCTCTTGTCCAGCCCACAATTAAAGCTCTTTGACTCGGCGGGGTGTCAGGTATGTACAGAAGAGAGAACGTTAGGAGAAGGCCCTAAAGTTCTGCTCCCTCAGTTCACGGGTGGTGGGGGGTGGGGGGTGGGCGGACTGAGGCCCAAAGAGGTCACGTGGCCCCAAGTTCCCACAGCTTGGCACACACCTTCCGGGAGTCTGGTCCTCTGGGAGAAACGAATGTGACTATGGGGTGCGTCTGGAAAAGCCCACGGAACAGTGAAACATCGTTATGAGGTGGGCAGCAGGCAAGGGACCAGGGTGCCTGTAGCTGCCTGAGCAGAGGTGCACTGACCCCTGGGCTCAGGGGAAGGGAAGGTGCCCAGCACCCCTTCCATGTCCCAACTCACAGTGACAAACTGTGAGAAATGCTCACCTGCCTGAATTCAAATAACGGACTCAGAGACAGAAGTATGACGAAGGCGAGACTTTTAATGCATTCTCGAGAGTGGGTGTCTGCCGGTTGTACGCGCACACCTGGAGTACCGATCAGTCTGTTTATCCCCCTAGGGCAGTGATGGCGAACCTTTTGAGCTCGGCATGTCAGCATTTTGAAAAACCCTAACTTTGGTGCCGTGTCACATATAGAAATTTTTTGATATTTGCAACCATAGTAAAACAAAAATTTATATTTTTGATATTTATTTTATATATTTAAATGCCATTTAACGAAGAAAAACCAACCAAAAAAATGAGTTCGCGTGTCACCTCTGACATGCATGTGTCATAGGTTCGCCATCACTGCCCTAGGGTGCACCTCATACGTCGCCTAGGTCTTACTATCTCTCATTGGGCCACTAGGAAAAATTGGGTTGAGGCCTTTTCTAGTTGCCTTCCCCTTCCCCTCCCCCTGTGTAGCCTAGGGGGTACCTCTGGGGTTTCCACCATGGTGCTGGCCACTTCCACAGTTCTCTGCTGTTATAGCCTCTTCCCTGCCCCCTACATTCTGTTGGCCCTGGGGAAATTCAGTGACCGTTTCCATTAAGGGTTGACTCTGCTGGAGATGGATCACAGAGGCCCCCTTCCTACAGACACGAATGGGGTGCTGTCCTGGCGCAGGGACTGTGTGCTGACCTGGCTCAGGGCGGAGTCTCCTGAGGCACCTTCTATCACCCATGTGGCGTCCACCTTGGGTTGATAGTTTTATTCATTTCAAACGGGCCGGATCCGGCCCGTGGGCAGTAGTTTGCCCACAGCTGGGCCAGACACACCCTGGAGCCCTCCCATGGTTCCTCCCTGGCAGGCCAACCTCCCGTGTCTCTCCCTGGCCCTGATTGTGCACCCGTGGGGTCCCTTGGCCTGGCCTGCACCTTCTGGCAATCCGGGACCCCTCAGGGGATGTCAGAGAGCCAGTTTCAGCCCGATCCCACAGGCCAGGCTGAGGGACCACACTAGTGCATGAATTTGTGCACCAGACCTCTAGTACATACACTGAATGGCCAGATTATTATGACTACCCCGTCAGTACTTCACTGACACTTTCAAAAATACTGAATATTGAAAACTTCCTAAGCAAATACTCTCAAGGTTTTACTATTATTATTTGCATAACTAATTCACTTCATTGTACTGAGGGGGTGGTCATAATAATCTGGCTGGTCATAATAATCTGGCCACTCAGTGTATATAAAAGGCTAATATGCAAAGTGTCCCCTCAGAAGTTTGACCGGGAGACCAGAAGTTCGATTACTTACTATAACATGTGCTGACCACCAGGGGATGGCAAGGAACATGGCGGGAGAGCAGCGGCAATGGTGAGGTGCTGAGGGAACAAGGCATGGAGGAGGCTAGGAGGTGGGTAGGCTGGTAGGCTGGGAACCTAATTGGCCCTGGGGGAGGGGAGTGGGGGGCAATCGGGCCGGCAGGGGAGCAGTTAGGCATCGATCAGGCTGGCAGGGAAGTGGTTAGGGGGTGATCAGACTGGCAAGCAGAAGCAGTTAGGAGTAATCAGGCAGGCAGGCAGGCAAGCTGTTGGGAGCCAGCAGTCCTGGGTTGTGAGAGGGATGTCCAACTGGCCTAAATGAGCAGTTGGACATCCCTCAGGGGTCCCAGATTGGAGAGAGTGCAGGCTGGGCTGAGGGACACACACCTCCACCACCACCTGTGCATGAATTTCATGCACCGGGCCTCTAATAAATATATATTTGGACACCTTAGAAAAAGAAGAGAAAATTCATCCTTCTTTCCTCTTTTTATTCCACGTGGAACCCTCAGAAATTGGAGGAAGCCCACTAGCACTGTAAGATCTCCTTACTCGTCTACTGAATCAAAAGCTAACTCTGTCCATTCACACCCAGAATTATTTTACCAGCTACATGGGCAACACAATTAAGTTGACACATAAAATTAACCCATCACAGTGACCCTAATCAAAGGGCACCCAAATTAAGACTCCAAGCTGAGCTTTCAGGGGCTGGTGCTGTTGGTTAGGGAGACCTTAGGCAAGAACCTCAGCTCCCCTGTAAAATGGGGATCATGGTGCTCACCCAGCTAGTGGATGCTTATAAGATCCAAGGAGATGGTGTGTGATGAGGGCTTGGCACCGGGCCTGGCATATAGTAAGAGCTCAGTAAATGGGTTTGTCCTTCTTTTTCCTCCCAGCAGAAGCCCCCAGCATTTTTCCCCCTCAGTCTCATGCTCTACTCCTGAGGTCAGGGAAGAGAGCCCAGCACAGGGCGCTCAGTGGGACTCAGGTTCTACATGAGGCCCCCCTGATCCTGCTTCACCCAAACAGCTGTAGCCGCCAGCCCAGGGGTTGGGGTGGGGGTGGGAAGTAGAGTTGAGTTAACCTGCAAAAGAGTGGATTCATCCCTGGGGATTATCAGGAAAAAAACCTTCCAGGCCTCAGGATTCGTCTGCCACCTGCTGGTCAGACCCGATGACACATTCATGTTACTAGCAGGGCTGTAGTGTTGAGTGTTTTTAAAAACTACTATTATGTAGATGCTACTTGAGTATAAATATTTTTGTGGTGATTTATGTAAATGTTAGAGATATACAGGAAAAAAACCTTCCAGGCCTCAGGATTCGTGTGCCACCTGCTGGTCAGACCCGATGACACGTTCATGTTACTAGCAGGGCTGTAGTGTTGAGGGTTTTTAAAAACTGCTATTATGTAGATGCTACTTGAGTATAAATATTTTTGTGGTGATTTATGTAAATGTTAGAGATATAAACTGCCTTTTAAAATGATAACGGAATTTTGTTACTTTTAAAGAATGCACGTGGATATTGTTTTAAAAATGTTTAACTGTGTTGGGAGACTCAAACTTTAAAACTGGTTTTAAAGATTAGTGAGCAAGAATTGTTTCTTCTTTAACTACATTGAGAATAATGCCCTTACGGTTTCATTCAGTGGGTAGAGTGTCAGCCTGTGGACTGACGGGTCCTGGGTCCCATCTGGTCGAGGACACATACCTAGGTCGAAGGCTCCTGGGCCTGGTTACGGGGGCTGATCAGGAGCCTGCGGGAGCGCAACCAATCCATGTATTTTTCTGACATCAGTGTTTCTGTCTTTCCCTCTCCCTTCCACTAGCCCCCAAAATCCATGGAAAAATATCCCCAAGTGAGGATTTAATTAATTAATTAATTTTGGATAAATTTAAAAAATTACAGTAGTACATGTAGAACACTTAAAGGAATCTTTTAGAATAATAAAATTTGACAGCTGGACAGATTATGGTTTCCTTTTTAAAAGTAGACTTTATTGCCCAGCTGGTGTGGTTCAGTGGTTGAGCATCGACCAGTGAACCAGAAGGTCATGGGACTGAGCTCAATCTCCTGTGTGGGGCTCACAAGAGGCAGCCAATCAATGATTACTCTCATCGGTAATGTTTCTATCTCTATCTCCCTCTCCCTTCCTCTATGCGAGCAATACAAATATTTTAAAAATTAGATTTTCTTTTTCAGAGCAGTTTCAGGTTCACAACGAAATTGAGCAAAAGGCAGAGTTGCCCTAGACCCCTGCTCCTCCACACTCACAGCCTCCCCACTATCCACACCCCCACACTGGGCGGCACATTTGTTAAAACTGATGGACCTGCACTGACAGAGCCTTGTCACCCGAAGTGATACATGGTGATGGACGGAGACTTGCTTGGGGTGGAGAACACACGATATGATGTAGCAGTGATGTGTTGTAGGTTTGTGCACCGAAAACTGTATAATTTTGTTAGCCAGTGATTTCAATCAACAAAATTCAATAAATAAATACAATCAATAAAGAAAAATAGGGACCAAAGAAAATGGGACCATCAACAATGTAAAGTTCTTATAAAAGACCAAGCACAAATAAAATAAGACTCTCAATTCTACAAATACAAAAGGCTAATGGAATTTTTATTAGGATTGAATCAATAGATTTGGGGAAATTGACATCTTAACCATATCAAGCCTTTTAATGTCTATTTATCTAGGTCCTTCTCAAATTCTGTCAGCCTGTTTTATAGTTTTTAATGTATGGGTCTTGACCATATTTTATTACATTTATCCCTAAGTATTTCACGCTTTTGGATGCCTCTGCAAATGGAATTTTAATTTCAATTTTCAATTGTTTGTTACTCATAGCTGGCATACAAATACAAGGGACTGTTAGATATTCATCTTTAGCCTGTTCCTCTGCTGCATTCATGCAGTTCAGGAGGTGTGGGTGTGGATGCTGTAAGTTTTTCTCTAGAGATGTCTATGTTGTTTGCAAATATGGACATTTCCTTCTTCCTTTCTGATTCGTATGGCTTTTCTTTCTTGCATTGCCTTGTGCCTGATCCAAGGAGAAAGCATTCCATCCTTCCTGGTTAAGTGTGAATTTGGCTCTAGGATTTTTTTTCTTTTTGTGTTTCTATTTGGCTCAAAAATTTTTTTGCCGAAACCGGTTTGGCTCAGCGGATAGAGTGTCGGCCT